ATAAAGCAAAGTAGGAAGTTGTGTAAAAAAATTTATGCTCGAAACGTCACCCCGTTATTAACGCTGTGTATCCGTGTGTTACACCAAATAAGCGTATCGGTTTATAATCGTATCACAGTGTCCAAGTTCTATTCCCATACTAAATACATACCATTCATTTTATTAGGCATTAATACAAACGACACCAGATCGTCCTTTTTTCGACCATCTCGATTTCGAACTTAAATCCATGCGGCAACTGCAGTTACCTAAGTTAAAGTCTATTGTCCAGGACTCGAATGTATCCCATGGTCACAAACTGTCTGTTGGAGATATACTGATAGAACAACTTAACCTGTTCCCCATATTTAGCTAAATCTAATCGATTTCCATCGCTTGTTTTGAAGCAATTGATGTTAAACGACTAATTCCAGTTGACTAACAAAAGCGAAAGTTGCAATAACGCAACTTTTTTAGTCTAAATAGGCGTAAAGGGGGAAACCAATCAAAATAAACAAAATAATTAACAGGCTATAGATGACTTAGCTTTAATATGAATGATAATAAAATAAACTATACTCAAAATGTCTTTGATAACTGTTACTGTCTATCAAAAGTGCATCGGTGGTTTGGCGGAAGAATACTCGCCAACCAGACACGGGGTCAGGGATTCAACCTTCGGCCGACGACGCACTCTCAAACCTCGCTTAGCCGATAAGTAAGCCCGGTAATGAGAGAAGGTTGGGTGCGAGGCTAGCAATCTCACTCCATAAAGAATAAAAATATGAGTGCTACAAAAACTTTAAAACTCAAAAAGACTAAAGTTCTATGTTCCATTCAGAACGCAAAGCAATACAACAAATAATATCTGTCGAAAAATTACTATAGCACTAAAGGTATGAAATAATAAAAAGAATCAGATTTTCTAAAAGTGATATAAGAAAATCAAGTGCGACGGGTGAAAAGTCATCGCAAAATGCATGGAAACTAGTATAATCAATAATTTCGAATATAGAGTTGAATAGTATGCAAAAGTAATTGGTGAATTTTAGATTTTGCCATCGACTGATTGGACCGAAGTGCTCGGTCTCAGGCTGACATGTCGGCTTTTGGAGCAGATGCTTCGACGATGCCTGGGCATGGAATTAGAATTTAATTGGTGGATGGTAGCTAGCAGTGGAATCCATGATGCGCATTTCGTCCTATTTGGGACTCGTCAGTGGATGTACCTGCATTCCCCAATGAGTGATGATGTTCCCAGCGGGACTCGGACCCAGTGTGTATAGTTTCAAACGCCAAGGTGTTATCCACTAGACCACCTGAGTCAGGAGAGCTGGCCACCTCTTGTGCAACGGGTCATATTAATTATTTAATTGATTGGAGCAAAGTGCTCGGTCTTAGGTTGGCATGTCGACTTCTGGTACATCCAGATGACGAGTCCAAAATGGACGAAATTCGCATCCCGGATTCCACTGTTAGTCACCTTCCACCAATTAAATTGATGAATATGTTGAAAATAAGTGGAACATTAGAGCAGAATGAAAACGAAGTTGGCCTGGTGATTAAGAATGCCCAAGACGATGAACTACACCGCAATAATTACTCGAAAAAGACTGAGGACGATTTGTGAGTTAAAAAGAAACAAAAAGGTAAGAACAGGAAAATGTGGGTGCTCAAAGTGTTGCAGATCACATTACAGAAGATATGAGCTAACAAGACTCCACCTTAAGACCATCTTTTGCAACAGAAATACACTGTTGGAATACTTTCGGTTTCTTACAAGCTTTGTAATCAGTAAATGAATTCTCGAGAAGTTAAAAAAATTATCAAAGTAAACTTCATTATTAATACTATCAATGGGACGTTTCACTAAGCGTTGAAGAAGTCATCTAATCTGTGATCAAGTATCAATGCTTGAAAAATGGTCAACAAGTTTAAATGGATATTTACAGTGGATATCTCCTTTTATTCTTCACAATGAAAATCGTCCTTTTGTTTTTAGGGACCTGAAAGGTTTCAAGTTTGAACCATAGATCGATACAGTCCCCAAGTTTTATATTTAGATCGATATTAGTTAATGAGGGAGTACTGGACAGTTGTTTCGTCCTTGTTTGGGACTACACATAAGTATGCACCCACAAGTCCACCAGGAAACAAACTCGGAACCATCAAGTTACAAGACCAAGCTCATTGACCATTCAATCACTTGCTCTATGAATTCTAACTACCATAAATTCGCTACTGATAGCACTCCTGCCAGGCAAGGTCATTGGCGACTATTTGTCCTCACAACCGACTAACCTTGTTGGCCCGAATGGTCACTTGAGCTTGAAACAAATCATATACCTACAAACTAACTCTTGAAAACTAGTCTGGTGTTCACTAGTGACCGACTACAGGACGAATTTGTCAGGAGTTCTAGTTAGAAGTTGTAATCAATCGGATCCACCAGGTAGGGCGTGAGGAAAAATACTGATGGATAGCGCTGGCTGGTGATGGCGCTAAAAATCGTGAATTGAAGGTCTGATGTTTGAAATTTAATGGAGTCGCTTGTGAGTACTGCTGAAAAATCCCAAACTAGAAGGAAACAGTTGTCCAATTTACTCCCTGTTGGTTTTCGACGATTTTCTAACTGATATCGACCCATGATCGGACGTGAAACATGTATACAACTGTACCTTTTCAAATAGAAAGCCTCAGCAATATAAGTTACTTATGCAACATCATCTTCCAGTAACATTTGTCACCAAGATTAATAATATTCAGAATCTTCTTCTGAAAGTATAATTACTTTTTTTTCCTTTTTATGGCACTCTAGGGATCAGATATAGTTGGATTTACTGATGAAACATCTAAGACTGAATATTTTATTGCAAACGTTCGATACAAATTCATAAGGTCACTACTACTGCATGCAACGCATACAGATTTACCCAAAACTAAAACATTATTGGAGAAGTTATACATAGACATTTTTAATCCGCATTACTTTTATCTAACAGACATAAAGGCATGAACAGTGTCATCTGTGAACAAATATAATACACTACCTCCTACACAACTTAATGCATAAATTCCGTTTTTTTTTTATAACAACAACAACACCTAAGATCTAGTGTTAGAAATTTGGAGGTGGTGTGGACTAAAGTGTTTTGTACTTTGAACACAAGTTTTGTTGGTGTTATTACATACACACCTGGGTTTATGAAAATCATTATGTGTATCCTACAATAAATAATGCGTACGAGATAAAAACGAGTACAAACTATTGGCCTAAAGAGATGTTTAACACAGAAATTCTGTAAACAAATCCCCTATCGCTAAGAATTAATATAACACTTTTGCAAACTTTACTGAACAACAAAAGGACGCTACAGTAGGCTTAAGCAAGAGGGCAACAGTCAAATAACCTTGAGCCAGCCAATCATGTGCTTCTAGGTGAAAGTGGCATTCATAGTATGTTTAATATATATATATATATATATATATATATATATATATATAATAAAAATGAATAACGTAGGGTGCATGTCTCTAATATGCTGCAAAAAGTCCCAGTTTTCCATAACAGTAGCTATAGATATACACCATTCTAATCCCTTTTTTGTATATGCCTAAAACCCTTCAATAGAATCTTTATGGATACTGGTCATAGGATCCACTAATTCTGATAAATGATTGACTTTATGAATATAATCTGGTGATGATAGACACATTGTTTAACATATCTAATGGATCCTAGCCTTAATCTTCGTCGCACGTTCCACCCTAACCGTGAATTAGGTTGAAACTTGCGAAAAGATTATGAAAAGCATTCACCTGTAATATTTAGCGATCTGATTGGTTGGCTCAAGGTCGTTTGGCCGCGATACCTATTCCTTACTCTTGCCGAAAAGAGATATTGTCAAATCTCTTGCATCTGATTCAACTAATCATCAGAAAACCGCTACTTAAAACTAGGTGATACAAAAGCCATCAATCATTGCTTCACAAAATTAAGAATGAAGAAACAATGCCACTGTAATAAAAAATCACTAATTTGTTAGATGGTTGGAGTAAATCAGCAGGAGATCTTGGACCTAGGTTTCGTGTTTGCTGGCAGTGGTCAGCAAAGCATATCTGTGATCTTGAGGGAACTCACGTCCCCATAGTGTTTGGCTGCATCACTCAGTGACCCTGGTTCGAATCTCAGAAGGGACATAAGTCTCTGGTCGGTGCCAACAAGCATGAAACCTAAATCCAAGGCCTTCTGGTGATTGCTTCCAGCCAACTAGTGACTTCCTGGTGTATTGCGATGATAAGCCACCTGTCATAGTATACTTGTGGTGAGAGCAGGCTAGCCAAAAATGGTAGACAGCATTTTACGTCAATGGGTATGTTGCAAATATTGGTGGTGAGAAAATATGAACAAGATTGATTCAACAACCAATCACAGCAGACTTTGCGTAGGCAGATACAGTTAACATATAGATGACCTGACATTCAAGAAACAGTCACGAAGAGATGCAAAGCCAACTTTCTGCGAGAAACAACCAATCAGAAGACTGTGTTTGTTTGCTTGAATAAGCTATAATAATGTACATGGAATATATAAAAATACGTGTTGATTTCCTTAATAAAGGATCTGTTGCCTGAATCCTGCCTTTTGTCGTTACATACTGATCATAAGGTAAAATTGACTGATAGAACTCAGTCTACACCTAACGAAGGATTAGACAAGCATGACATTAGTTACTACACCTAACGCCTAATCAAATTACTAGTTTAGTTTTAATAACCAAATATCAACCGAAAGCTTGTAAAACCGAATTTCATTCAAGAATTTAAACATTATCAAAAGAAAAATTAACGGGTAAAGTTAACATTTCGATACAGAAAGATTACTGGATAAAAAAGAAAACTATGCTAGCCTATTTCTTCTAAGGAGAACAAAAAGGAAAATAGTTAACGTTTAAAAATATCCTCTCGGATAGTTTTCTTTTTGGTTATAATTGAATGTCACACCAGTACATAGGACTAACCTTTGCAGAAGCATCACATGCACCCGAAATAAATGTCTGGAGATTCGGTGCAAGACTCAAGCTCATCACATCTCCTGTGTGTCCGGTAAAAGAAGCAATCTGTTGTCCAGTTTCAATATCCCAGAGTGCACTAAAATGTAACAGAAACAGAAATCAATACTGTAAACTCTACATCCATCAAAACACAGCAGATGAAATGAATCGAAAAATAGTATTTTAATTTTACTTAAGATTTTGAAAATTTGAAATACATATTCAGCAGCTACGAAAGTGAATCCGAAAAGTAACTGATTACACTGACAGAGTCGCAACATAAACTTTACAGTCAATGAAAAATTAATACTGCCTCATTTCAGACGAGAAAATGTCTGTCGGTTTTCGATATAGAACTTTGCACCGATATGCGGTAGTTCAAGTCGACACACTCCCCACATGTAGCACACAAAGCAAAAGAAAGTAGAAGAAATGCATATTAAAGACAGTAAACAGAGGTGTGAGACAAAGAAATAGAAGCAACGAAGAACAATGAAGTTTCATTGGAAATCACAAGTCACAAGGAGTGGATAAATCTGCGCCATTGAGAACGATTTTGAACCATGTCACCAATTGTTTCCAACCACAGATTTTTACCGTCCCGAGGAACCCAACCAGTCAGGAAGTCTACACCTTCCTACGTGGCTTAGACCAACTGTTGTGGATTTCATTGATTGGTGAAGCCGTTTTTGTTTGACCGCCGCTACCTCTTTTCCAGCCTGACCCTATATCCGCTAACATTTCTCGTCGAGGGAGGCGATGACCTGGCATACGTAACACATGTCCTAACCATCTCAGTCGATGTAATTTCACAGCCTCATCGATCGATTTCCCCTGCTTACCTAGCACTTGACCGACGCCCAACCTCAATATTGCTCACCTTATTATAACACCTAACACGGGAGATAGAGCGCAGGCACCTAGGATCAAAGATAGCTAATCTTTTCATGTCTTCCACTCTCAATGGCCAGGTCTCGCTCACAGCCATAAAGGAGGACGGAGCGGACTGATGAGCAGTACACCCGCCCTTTGGTCGATAGTCGAACATCTCGTCTACGCCAGAGACGGCGTAAACTGGCAAATGCGAAACGAGCCCCCTGTATCCGTGCTGAGATTTCGTCAGAGACCAACCCGTTGGGGCTGATGGTACTTCCCAAATAAGTGAAGCGGACAACGAGCTCTACCACTTCACTTCCTATTTTTAAACTAGGCGTCGATGTAGTCCAGTCCTGTAACATCATCTTGCATTTGGCGGGAGCGAATCGCATGCCAAACATTCGTAGATTGCGGCTCAAGGTGTTTAGAAGACTCTGCATTTTGTCAGCGTCTTCGCCTAGAAGAACTACATCGTCTGCATATTCCAAGTCAACGAGATTATTCCCTGGTAACAAGTCAATCCCTGAGTCGCTCAAGTCACTTAGGGTTAAGTCCATAAGTATATCTATGATGAAATTGAATAGAAAAGGAGATAATGGGCATCCTTGACGGACACCACTAGTCGTCACCAGTTCAGATGACAGCTCGCCGTAAGCCCTCACCTGGCTGTATGAGTTCGAGCAGAGTGAGAGAGACGAAAAAATGTAATGTATCAAAAGTATATTTAATATATCACAGGGCTTAACTGCTCTATTGTGACAAATGTGAAGGTAAAAACTCATTTTCACGGTTAAATAATAGTACACAACATTGACAGTGAGGATATTTTTTTAACCTGATATGCCAAAATCATACTAGCAACGAATTCACAATTCAATGATAAATTTGGTGATTACATTGAATAAACTTTTTATGAGGTTTTATTGAGTGGTCGAACCGACAAGTGAATCGAATTTGCAACTTGCACTGCTATATGTGGAATTTCACCATAAAATTATTCAGATCACAATACATCATTTACTTGATATTATAAACGGCAGTCAACGGATATAATATAAAAGCATGGTGCTACATACTCCTCATTCATTGACTGGTATACGAAGTTAGATAAACACCCACATCAAACTAAGTACAACGCTGATAAGCTTGGCCCAAAATGAGTAAAACAGCCATCCGATGTTTCGATCACTTCAACCCAACCAACCATCACTACGCGCTGATATCAGTGGTGCCCAACTTTTTATATATCAGGCAATCTATCAGTAGCATATAGTGACATGAACTGATAACTGTTAAGTTGCAGCTTGAATCACTTGTAGTCGAGAGCTATTGAGAAACGCCTTCTATTGATGCCTAAAAACTTAACTTCGCATCAGCTGTGGTCACTTTGGATTTGAAATCCCCATCGGCAGTTGTATACTTCATCCGCTTGTTGATTTCATATTTCACATGAAGATGCAAGCGTAAGAATGGGGATATGACAACAAGAGGCAAAAAAGGATTCAACGTTACGTATACAGAGATAAATTTAAGACAAATCTTAAATACTAAATGTTTATGAAGTCCAATAACTTACTTCTAGTTATCCTCGGAAATGTTTCGTAATGAAGTTATGGATGACACACGGAGGCTGTTTTATTAGCCACCACTGTGAATGCTCTCAGAAGTGATGTTTACTACAAATGAGGACGACCTACATGCGAATCAGTAGCCCACTACACGAAAACGCAACAATATTGATCAATAACACAACACTACAAAAGCACCCAGCTTCCATTGGTTACGGTAAACTACGTAAGATTTAAGGAAAACTTAATAAAAGTTATATATGCATTATTCATACTTTCTGTGTAACCCTTAGAAACTGTTGTGAATGACAGAGACTGATATCGTAATTTTTTCGTTACCTAGCACAATATAGGCAAATTATTAATTCCGTTGTACTCTCTGAGAGAGTGATTTAATTGCTAAGTTTTTGTTATCCGTCTAGAGTTGCTACACTCTATATCCGGATGTTCAGTAGGCAGTAAAAAAGGAGGCAAAAGAATGATAAGATAAAATACATAAAGAATTTAGAAAATACGATGAAGACATCGACAATGAGTCAATGTAGAACTTTGCACGAAAGGAAGGATGTAATTATGATGGATTTTAGTGCTGTAATAACTAGTCTCTATCTATAGGTTTCAGTAATTGAATGGACACCAGTAAGATGACACAAGCTCCTTTACACGGTTTGTAACAACGGCAAATGACCTTTTTAGGGTCACGTCTTTATCTAGTCACTGTCTGCTTTAGTCCTAACACAACAAGACAAACGGTGAATAAGTGGATGTGACATAGCCACCTCAGGTACTGGAGACTGATAATAATTAATTTTCATTACTTAATACCGTCTTTCTAAATTCCACACCGCTAACTTGCTTTTGACTTCCAGTGGAGAATTAGATTAAAAATTTACAAGGAAACATTATTTTAGGTTGACACACTTCAAAACAAGGAGAAACAAGCGTGTATAGAAGAGAAAGAATGATTTAATGTAGAACGATGATATTCAAAGCTTCGAAAAAGACAAGAATCGAATACATAATTAATAAATAATTAATTTTTCCTTCACGTTCCCAGTGGAACATAGGGCTTCAAGTTAGTGGCTTGAAGTTTCTGTAGCAGTGTTTATTTTTAGAGGATGGGGTTGCTAGCCTCATGCCCAACCTTTCCTCTTTACCAGCATTATTTCTGGCTTAGCGAGGTAAAGGAGTGCGTCTGTGGCCGGAGATCGAACCCCGGACCATGTGCATGGTTGGCGAGCGTCCTAAACGCTGTGCCACCGACGCACATTCGAATACATATAGGCTGTCAAATAGCTTGTTTTAATTTGCCACACTACAACATGGAGAGGAAATACAGAAATGAAGTGACCCTGACTACTTGGTTTTGACAGTTTGAATTATCTCCATAAATTCATCGACATACTACATCTCTAGCGTCATTTATAATCATGCTGATTTGTCTGGAAAAGTGATTAAAATTTCATTCTTAGAGAACACAGCATCAGAAACATATGAGCTACAAACCACCACTACCACTGAAAGTGCAAAATTTACTATTTCAAGGTAATAATGACGTAATATGGAGTGCTTGCTAGCCATGTACATTGCGTTTATTTAACCTCATTCTATCACTTTCATAAACTCTCCCTCAACTATTCGATTCTATTTTTAGTGAGCAACTCACTATTGTCTCTTAGGTGTTCACTTTGAGCATTTTGTTTTATTTCTACAACATTTCCACACTCGTTAAGTAGGACAATCAACCAACGTGTTTTACATTTAACAACAATTCTTCCGTGAAATTCCAAATCTCTACTTTCAACGTCTTGTGAATAATTAATATTTTTTTTCATATCTCTAAAAGCCACTTCTGACTTGCTGTAAAAATGGTTTCACATACACGTTTATCAAATGCTTGTACGAAAAAATCTACTAAGGACGCGATACTTATATGCATCGACAGTAACTACCTGGAAGTTGTATATAATACAGATTGATTAGGATTCCACTTTTAGATCGTAACACCCAGAAAATAAACAAGATACACCCTACATGAAACTAAGCCAAAAATAGAATGAAAATTGCAGTAAAACTCTAAACAACTGTGACTATTGTACATAAAATGCTATCGGAATGGTAAATTCTCAACAAAGTAAGAGGATAAGAATGTGACATTTATAAGTCATCCCAGGTGATAACATAGTTTATAAATTGAAATGAAACGACCTATGCGAAAATAAAAATATGACAGAAAGGCTTAATTCCATATGCACATAATTACACAAAAGTAACTAAACTTACCAAGTCCCATCACCTGATGTGGTAACTATCTGGCTATCATTCACAAAACGGCAACAAGACAGATAACCAGTGTGACCAGGAAGCTCCCGACTAACCCGAACATTTCCTTCACGTGTTTTTAGGCTATATATTGAACATATGTTGTCCAAACCGCCACATGCCACATAATTACCCGAGGGTGAGTATGCGCATGTCATAACCCAGCTGCTTCTCAGAGGAATAGCATGAACCTGAGGTAATCAAAATTACAAAACATTATAAAGCTGCGCATGCTGACAATTAATTAAATAAACGTCAGTCACTAACACATCAGCATAGTAAATATATAACGAAAAATTATATTAGCCAAATTAAGTGTATCTAACGAAGGAAAAATAAAGTAGAACTAACTGATTCCTTTAAGGATATACAGATCTGCTTTTCATGAATATACATAGGCATACTCTAAGCCCTAAGCCAGTTTCATGTTGAGTAATTTTGAAGTGCTAGAAAACAACACGTAAGGTACAAAACAGTCTTAGACGTCTATTTTCCGATTGCAGATACAAGCGAATTCCACAATATATAGATACATCCAACATAAACAGATTGACTGACACAACTCATAAACGTGGCACTAATCTATAAGGTACATCACCGTCTAGAAAACACCGATCTATTCGACCTTTGTCATCTAAAGTTTGAAAACCTCCAAAAATCTTTATTTTTTTCGTCAGGTTTACGCGTCTGCTTCTAGGTAGGTCGATTTGAAATGGTACAACTCTGCACATATATCTACACTAATTCGGGAGTAAATCTATCAATTGCCTCTCCAAAAGCAAATAAAACTTTGAAATAACACAAATGCACACCCGTAGGTGCAGCAATAGGAAAATTAAATACAGATGATGTGACTATACCAGGTGGAAACTACCGGTTCTTATGGACTAGGTAACTGAACATTCACTGTTACTGCTGCATTATTACGAATGGGAGCTCTTAGCTAGCATGATTCAATTTTCTATTACCTCTTCTCTTAATCATATCGAGGGAATTTTTCCTCGATTAGTGGAATCACTTACAGACTGCAGGTCAGAAGGTATGGGATATGTAAAGCAGAGATCACTATTACTGTCTCAATAAGTTCTTTAATAAAAGAACCCTCTTTCGGGTCCCAAGCCCACCTTGTTTGATTTAGACTTTTACTACGAGACTCCAGTTCGATATCAACTAAGTTCTGCAATTACGGCACATGTAAAAAGTTTTATAACTTGGATAAAATTTGAAGATAAGATATCCTCATCTCGTGCTTAATGTAATTAGCGATTTTTGAAAATTAAAACGATCCAATAAATTAGTCTTTCTTGGATACTATTTTGTCATACGAGTCCGGAAAGTGAGGCGGTGGGAAATTAATAGTCGACCCGTGAATTGCATTACAGACATTACTCTGTAAAAAAGCGATTATTCAGAAAACAAAAGTAGGTGAAATACCTCTGCTGGTTTTACAAGTCATTATTCAGTCTGGGCCTTCAATATAGTAACACCTCTAGTAAATTCGCATTCTTTTTCAATTCAGGTTGACTGACCCTAATACGAATCAGAAAACCAATCTAATACCCCATTTTCTCTGTCAATAACTCTAGATTACCAGTGTCATGGTTCTCTTTGGGTTTCTACGTAAGCGAACGACACACAGTTGTTTAATCAATGCTTCACATGATTCTTCAAATGATACGCATTAATATAAATTTAACAGTAGTATAACCAAGGGTAGAAAATATTGTGCAGTAACTTAAGAGGAGGTGATTACCAGCAAAAGTACGCCACTATAGATTCTTCGTCAGAGATATGAGCTCTATTAATATAAAGAATACCAAGATGATCATGTCACAGAAACTACTTTTTCATATCCATATGCAGCGACGAAAAAACTAAGTTATTATGAAGAGACTCAGTTGAAAATTGACCTGTGAAGCGTGAAGTACATCGACCGAATGATATACAAATAACTTTAAAGAGTTCCATACTAACATCAGAAATTATGCGTACTTAGATGCGGACAAGCAAAACTGCATATTCAACTATCCACAATACCCAAATTGTGATGATCACATAAGCATTAAACAATCATTTGGTGCGACTAAATAACACACCTTGTTGGTAGTATATCCGTCCCATACAATTAATTTTCCATCTTGCGAAGCTGATACTAGATTACGCGAATCCGAACACCAATGCATGGCATATATCTTCGCCAGGTGGCCCCGCAAAGTCCTCCTGCTTCGTAGTTGAGTACGGTTAATATACTCCACATCCGCAGTTGCTTGTTGTAAGGTAATATCAGCAGCAACTCTTCGTGCTTCCTAGGAAAACAAACAAAATAAATCTTAACCGATCTTGAATCGTACTCTGATTTGACTCTTAAGTTGCTCCGTTTCCTGACGCAGTTGATCTAGCTCGCCCATATTGCGTTATGACGGGAATACTAATCTCAAAAGGGAAGATATACACTACACATCGATCCTGACCAACATCTCAGGTGTTTAAGAAGATGGTGAGTGTATTCTCAATTGGATAGTTAAAACAAATAGGGATAACATATCACTTGTCACATATTAAAATATAATTTGCTTAAAAGAATTAAAATATATGAGGCTTTTTAAACAAAAAATATGTGACAGGGCTACCAAACAGGCACAAATGAGATTTGAAATTAGCTTCAACAGTTTTTACTTACAACACCTAAAAGCCCTTCTACAAGCTAGTGCAGACTAAAAAGTTTCTTTGTGATCGCTTCTTGGCTGTAAGATAAAGGCTTCTGGTCTTCGATAAACTTCTGCGATGTTCCTGCCATCCCTTGCCTGTCGTTGCTCTGAATAACTCCAAGGGGATTGGTACGGCAATGGTAGGTATTACCCTGAAATTACTAGCCACAACACTCATCACTGCGTAGTGGATGCCGACCCTCACTGTTTAAGCGTAAATGTGTAGCTTAATGCCCGCGATCAAGCATCAACGCCGTTTGGCAAACTGTCGTGTTATGTTAGGTAGTTCGCACAAAATGCCTAGCTATTTGAGCAATCATCCTCGCGCTACGAATTTGGTCGTATTTCGGACAGTCAATTTGGTGCTTTGCGTTGTCTTTGGTCTACGCGGAACGAATACACAGAAGTTATGGGTATAACATCCTGCGTTGGCATACCTCGTACTTTCCATGAACGTCAACACCCTCAGCCTTCGGAGTACCTATATTGGTGATACGCTGTTTGTAGGATTGGGTGTGTTAAAACCGTATCGTTACTGTCAATGTAGTTGGTACTTCCATCCGTCAGTCATCTGGTTTGTTCAGAAGAGAGATAATAATAGTAAATCATAAGAAGCAAGGGTGACAGATATGACAGTGACGGTTACATAGACTCAAAAAAGAAAAACATAAAAACAGATAAGCTATTAATTTCATCAAGTGAAAAAAAATACACAAATATATACATTTATTTAAATTGAACAAATATAAATGGTTGTCAAAAGGGTGGAACAAGGGGGAATTGGCAGGGATGAAGGACCAGTTTAAGTCAGTTGCCATTAATAGTGTGTGAGTTTTTGAGGGATAGACCATTTGGACGAAGTCCTTGTGTTTCTTTATAGCTGTCCAGTTTCCTCCACGTAGGCTTCAGTAGCCACGTCCACCAGTGGAGAGTTCCGAGGGCGTCAAACACCATGAAAAGAGAAATGGGGGCATACTCGAGTCTTTGCCGTCTGGTGACCTATCCTTCGTAGATTTCCCCTAGGAGGCGCGTACGTACTTGACGACAAAATACCATTTGTTTGGGTGATTCTGGTAGTCTGTAATCTTGTAGGCTGTAATCAAGTTACCCCAAAGCTGATGGTAGCTAAATATGAAAGGACTGAATTTCTTCAGCCTTTCATCATATGGCTTATTTTGGAGACATATCACCACTTCTGTCATCCGTTTTTTGATAGTTTTCAAAAGATTACTGTCCCTTCAGATCAACGGAGCAGCAATGATATTATTTACTTCGAGGCGCGTTCTTACGTATATTGTGTAACACCTCAGGAAAAAGTGAGATCATTTGGTTGTGTGATGTGTATAACCGCATATGCCCTCGCTACGTCATCCGTGTAAGTCACGGGTTAGAACTAGACCTAAGTCGCGCTATGACGTTGTGCACGACAATTTATCGTTGCACAGGTAGTAACTTACACTTCGGGGCTTACAGGTAGATTGCTGCACTACTCTCTTTTTTAGGTTGAAAGTCGTACCACTGGACAGTGCCGAGCGTCCTAGAAGATTCCAATCTGCCTGCAGCTAATCCGAATCTTCCGAACGATTAATTAATCCCCAATTCCCTGGATCGTCAGCCCAAAGAAGAGCTGGATAGTTTGGGTGGCATGATGGGTCACTGGTAGAGGTAGAAAATACCCTGTGATACTCTTGATGCCGTACTATTCCAGGATGATGGCATATGACTGACTTCGTTCAGAATCCGGTTTTGTCAGATAGTCCTAGAATTATAAGAAAATAGGGACATCAATACCAGTCTGGCTTATTTTGCGAAGAAGTTCATGTTGAACTGTGTCAAATGCCTTTGCGAAGTCGTGGAAGATCACGCGAACTGGGACATTCGTATCTCAACGTTAAGTTTAATCATTCTGAGCAGACAACATACTCGTCACACAGGAGTATGTGAGTTTTAACTATACGTTACTTGACAGTATCACCAGCCAGACTTGCCATTACCTTCGGTACTACTGGGAATAGTGCTACTGGTCTGTAACTCGTTACGTTTTGTCGACCACTACCCTTGAAGATGGAAGAAAGGAAAGCTCTTTTCCACCTCCCTGGCAGTTTCCCTGAATCCTTAAGTATAGGTACAGATCACACACATAGCCTGCAGGAAGCCTCTGCACACTTTCAGAGCCGGTGATTGAATGTCACCACAACCTGGGAACTTTCTAGAAGGAAGTTTCTGCGAATTCTCTAGCACTACTGCAGGATTAATTTGGAGTGTAACCATGGGGTTTTCCCTCGATAAGCTAACAGTTTGATCCTTATTAGCTTATAACGGTAGTACATGCAGTTCTGGATAACTGTCTGTCAAAGGCAGAAATGAATGTTTGATCCATCTCCCGACTAATAAGAAACTGACCATTGTGACCTACTAAGGCGCCTGCGCTCTGGTTTGTGGGCTTCCTTTACTGCATTAATTAGCATAGGTGTTTTGGGTTTTCTGGTAAGTTTAGCTTGAAACGGCCTCCTTTTACCCCTGACCCTTGTGCTGCATAGGTTTCGGAGTTCCAGGTTTGCCTCACGGTTGGTCTGGCTCGCAGAAAAATGCCGTGTAAATCAAGCTTTCCACTCTTCTTCCAGAATACGTTGGATATGTTGCATACATCTGTTCAGAAGTGATAATGTGTATACGAAAGAAGAGAACACGAAGTTCAACGAGGATATCTTTCCGGCAACTTCCTACTGAAAGCTGCACCATCGCACTTGAATACACAATTCTACACGAAGACAATTTGTACTCGATCCCACATAATTACGAAGGTGAAGATAAAGCGAAAATTATTTTCAATTAGATGTGGTTTGTGAGGGGTTTGCCACTTCGACCAATTCTATGCATTTCAGGGTCGCCATACCATCCAATCGCCAAATAGCTGTCCGAAATGTTGGAGACCGTAAGACAACACCTATGCAAGTACTCCGTTCATGGTACTTTTGAGTTCGTTGAATGTGTAAAAGACTTTAATTTAAAAGTAAACGAATGCTATCCTTGGACATCAAATCTCCTTTCAAAACGTGCCACTAACAGAAATAGTTTGTTTCCCGTGCAGTTATGTGGAGAACTCAAATATAAGTATCAGAATACCAGCATCATATCTAAAAGAATTGTTGCTAAGATGTACGCTGAATGTAAAATTTACCTTCAACGGCAACATCTGCAGAGAGAAAGATGAAATTGCAATGGGTTTTCCCCTCGGCCTGCTTTTAGCAGACTACTTCATGGCCAGTTTGGAAAGCGGAGTTTTAAAATCAACGATAAACAAATTACTATCGTACAAAGAAGACGTCGACTATACCTCAATAATCTGCTACGCTAATTCTGACTTCAATCGTATCTTACAATAATTTCATAATTCCCATCCTTCGATTAAATTCACAATGAAATTGGAAAGCGATTCAAAAGTTCCGTTTCTATTCATGGAATTAATAAGAATACATGATGGAACTCTGAAAAGATCCCTCCACAGAAAATCAACGTGGAACGGTCAGCTAATGCAATTCTGTTGTTGGATACCCTGGAGCCGAAAAAGAGAAGAATGCGATTCAACGCCGAAAAACCCTATATATGAGTCTGAACTTAATAGGAGATTTGGCAGCTGATACCCTAAAGAAGAGAATATCCAGATCTTAAAAGAAGACCTTCGCCGTGGCAACACTAAAAGTGAAATTCTTTAACCGTCCAATACTTCGAAAAAACGCTAAGGATAAACTCTCACACATGACCAGTTCAATGTGCATATACCAGTTCACCTGTGTATGAGGAGCTAGGTACATAGGTCGTTGTATCCGCGTCCTTTCGAAACGTGTTAAAAAACATAACCTAGCTGGGCGACTGAACTTGTCCGTCATGTCCAGTGTCATTGGGGGAGTGAGACGCTCACAGGTCATTTTCGTCCATGTTTGTCGGCCAGTTCCCTAACCGATCGTTTGCACATTGGTTTTTTAAATAAATAAATAAAGTTATTCTCATGATACAGTACATGAGGGACGCCAGTTTACAGGGATCATCAAATTGTTACAGAAATAGAACCATATTATTCAGTCACATTTTACAATCGATAGCAAAATATGTTTAACATGTACGCTGGAGATTATACATACACTTGATAAATGTTAATCCCAATAGTATAAAACAGCCTTTCACTTATGTACAATCATTTCTGTGCCCAGTTGGAAAAATCTGCTAGATTGTCAGTGAGTGCAAGACATCAGGAAATACAGAAGTATTGTCTTCGCATTAACAAAAAAACCAGGTCTTTGGTGGATGGGTTATAAGTGCCAGTTATTCACAACTTATCTTGGTGTACATTGTTCACAAATGTCGCGTTCCACCTCATTTTTCTTTCTTTTGTTGTTAAAATTAATAGTTTTGTTTGTTTCAGAAGATTTTACCACCAGGTCAGTTCATACACTAGATAGTGCGTCGGTGGCACAGTGGTTAGGACTCTCGCCGACCATCCACATGGTCCGGGGTTCGAGCCCACGCCGACGAACACCTGATATCTATGATCGGCCTGCGAAATTTGGGCTACCGATATCCATGCTGAAAATTCCATACTTGTACCAAAAATACAGTGTGGAATCAAGCTGTAAATCAAAAATCAAAAAAAATAATAGTTTCATACGTTGCTTCGATGGGTGGTTGCCGCGTTTTATTTTTTCAGATGTTAATTAAATTAATTAACTGTGTATAAGCTTTGGAAAATATGCACATGAGCATGTTTAGGAGGCAGAAGCCATTGTTTCCAGATCAT